ATAGCCCGTTTATAATAATAGGTCGATATTGAAGACAGATACGAGGTCAATATACATAGCTAATCTTAACATAGCAAATAGTTTTCCGATCCTCCCATACGGGAACGGTGTCGATTGTTCAGCTTTCCTTCGCACATTTATTTGCAAAAAAAGATCTGTCTGAATCATGACGAAAGAAAATGATGATGTCATAAAAATGATTTGTTTGTATCTAAATGTAAAGGATTTAAATGGCTATTAAACCAGATCACATTTTATGTTTTGTATATACCTAGTAGAGATGATGCCATTTTTATTCATAATAACTAATTTTGTCTTTATGAAATGATTTGATTACTGTCGCACTAATAAATATTATTCTTACTCATGTAACTTTCTTTCTATTTGCGTCAGTTGTTTAATGTCAATATTGTGTTTCATGAATCATTGACGAGGAAATTTAATTAATTCAACTCGATCAAAAGCCAGAGTAACATGTGAGCTAATTCGTAAGAATACGGAATACCTGAGATGTTGAATCATTTCGTAAGAGCGTTTCACATGAAACCTGTTTTGAGGACAAAGTTCGGCATAAACAAGTGACATTCGCGCGAGATGAAGTAGTTTGCTGTGAGAACATTTCTAGAAGTTATTGTTGTTAGATATTTAGATGTTATCAGGTAGATATTTTTAAAGTCCTAAAATTGACTGATTTACTGACAGACAACGCACAGTTGGCGGCCTGTCTGAAAGAATGAAGTTTCTTTAACAGGGTTTTCTTCCATATGTTGGTGAATGACTGCGTAAGGAGGGTTTAAAAATCCCTATAGTATTTTAAAAAATACTTTAATACCAATCATCGCGAAGTAATTGAAAAATACCATTATTTTGAAGTATTTATAATGATTAATTTTTTTTATATAGATACATAAAATACTGCAAATACGGGCTTGTTCTCACGTTTCTGCCAGAACGTTATAACGACTTGTTTTATTATATAAAGTTTTATGTATTCAATTGTTATTTTGGCTACGTAATGTTTGGGCAACTGAATTTATGTTCTATGACGCCTTTAGTTTATTTAAAATAGGTACATATTTTTTTTCACTTGGCAAATATAATGAAAAACTTGAGTGAGATGTTTGAATTTTATGGAGACGATGAATTACTAGTTTTAAGACATGTCAATAACATGGACTACTCGTTTGTTTTTATAAGTTCAGATATTTTTTAATGTTAGTTGTGATTACTAACTAACTTTAACCACTAATGGTAAATGGAAATGCTACAGTTACAAAAGCCATAAATTTTACATGTCATCAAAGTTTTGTTGAGTATAGTATTCTATTATTACGATTCTAGGAATGTTTTTTATTGTTTTTATTCTATATAGCCCTATTATACAAAAAAAAACGAAATAAATGAAATAATTATATTTGATACTAGTCGAGATAAGTATCGTTTAAGCGTAGCTATCATATCGGCTGCACAACCATCTTGCATTATCTTACGTTGTTTGCCTTGCAAAATTATTAAATATCCTCCAAACTTTCGAATTGTTAGTAAAAATAAATATAGCCGTTATATTAATCTATTGTTAACGTCATCCTTAGCAATATATGTTTATCGTCAGCATGTTTCTCATAATTTAATTTTTTTTATGTGAAAAGTTGTGTAGCGAGCAGATTTTTTACCCGATGTGACGTAATTATCAACACCTGAGGGCGGTAGGTGCGTGGAAACCTTTTAAAAAATGTGACCCCACTTATCGCAATCACCAGACTAAACGCGAAAGTGTGAAACTTTCACTTCACGCCGGACTTTTGTGAGGCTGTGGTTCTTCTCCGGATTGGGCACCCATTTTTTTAATAATAAAAATATCTTTATTCACATAGACGCTTGCGCGTTCTTATGAAACGTCAAAATTTTACAAGAAATTAACACGTTCGTAAGGTACCACCGGTTCGGAAAGCAGTTTCTGTTGAGAAGAAACCGGCAAGAAACTCAACAGTTGCTCTTTTTAAAAAAATCAGTTTACAATATAATAGTACATGTACAATAGTCTTGTTTTAGCCTACGTGAGTATCAACAGTATTAACCCCACACATTGGCGTCGTCAAGATATTCGGCAATAGTATAATAGGCTTTAGCCATAAGTGTACTTTTAATTTTTTCGTTTAAATTCATCAAGTGGCAGACTTAACATCGACTGTGGGATTTTATTATACATGCGCACACTTTGCCCCATGAACGATCTGTTTACTTTTTGTAGGCGAAATAATGGCGTAGTTAGTTTGTCCTTATTTCTAGTATTTAGTTTATGTCTGTCACTATTCTTTTGATAATTATTAATATTCTGTTTAACATACAAAATATTACAATAAATATATTGAGACGCAACAGTGAGTATATTAATCTCTTTAAAAAGATGTCTGAGTGTATTCCGGGCTCCGATGTTATAAATTGCTCGGACAGCTCTTTTTTGAATAATAAATATTGAATTTATATCAGATGCACTACCCCCACAACAAAATGCCGTACGACAAGATGCTGTGAAAATAACTGTAGTAAACAAGTCTGGCAGTGTCGATGTCTGATAGCTGCCTAACCTTCCTAATTGCAAAAACAGCGGAGCTTAACCTATTCGCAAGAGATGATAGATGGGGACTCCATTGGAGCTTTGAATCTACTGTGATTCCCAAGAATACAGCGGACTCAACAGGATTAAGGGTTACGCTATTCAATTTTAAGCTAAAACTTTGCCTTCTTACGTTGGGAAGGGCAAAAAGAAGGCATTTAGTTTTTTTAGCATTTAACACCATATTATTAATGCAACATTCGTGCAACAGTGGGAGCTGCTTCGTGACCCTACCTCACCAAAAATGTCATGTTCCCTCTAAGGTATTTTATACGATTTTAAGGGATTTTTTAAGGGAATCTAGAATGAGTACTGTTTACTTTATAAAGCATTACCGTAAATATCAACAAGTTCAATTGGCCTCTTGTTAATGTTAAGAATTGGAGAAATGGAATAAAAAGGTAAATTAAAAACACAGTATATTATAAGAAGAGTTTCTCTCTGATATTGATAAAGCAAACAGTATTCTAGTTACGTAAAGTTGTTGTATGTAGGTATATTAATAATTTAATGTTGAATTAAAAACTTAAAAAATACGAACGCAACAAACCTGTTATATAAATTATATAACAGTTTAGTTTACAAAAAACGTTGCTTCTAAATTCAAGATGTGAAATACCAGTGTATACGAAAAGAAAGATAGTTTTCCTGGATTCAGTTTGAAGTAAAACGGTTGCACATTTCAATGTTCATGAAGATGCGTTCCGAAATCTTTACAGTTCTGCTTTATTTCAGTCGCCTCTCCGCTTCCCCTCCCCACCCTTCCCTTCCCCTCCCCTCCACTTGCAAACGGACGGACAATCCGATCGTGTCGATTTGTGCAAAACCAATTCCCAGCACTATACCAGTTGGAGTTTGATGCAGCAAGAATATTTTGCAAATGCGCGCTTCACTGAACTTACAAGCGTCGGTGGGCACGGTATGCGTCTATCTATGATTTTTTGTCCAACGCTCTGGAAATCGTATACCGGCTTCGGAAATTTGATCGCTCTTTTGTTTTCTACAGTCGTCGCATTCTCATTAACAAAACAAACCATAAATAAAAACTCACTCCAACCCTAACGTGGTAGACAGATATTGGTTGCGGTATATATTTTTATCCAGGGATAGTGAAAAGGCTATTTTATTATCTTAATAAATAAAATGAATGTTGGTAAGCGCATAACACAAGAATCGCTGGACCAAAAAGAACGAAGTCTCTCTGGGCAGCTTGTTCCAATATATTTATTTCTTCTGTATTATATTTATTTCTTTAGTTCTTTAGTCAATGCGCTGGCAAGACAAAACAATGTTATCGTTTACTAAAAATTCTTTCAATTTAATGGAGGCTATTTCACATTATCAAGACGTTTATTCGGCCGTAATTGACTTTGATATTGACCTTGAATAAATCGAGCACTTTTACCGCGAGACGGTAAATACTAAACTGGCTTTAGTGATTTAACAGAATTCACACTTTAGTATGTCTATTGATTTTGTCATGAACATGTTTTTTATGTGATAAAATGTATAAAACCTTTTTTTTAATTAGATGTTTCATCTGTAAGGTTTCATTTTCACCTTTTACGAGTTAGGTTCAGAATAGGTATTTCGGGTCTACGTAATATAAGAATGTAACACCAAAAGTCCTAAAAAACCTAATTTCTTCTCCACATTATGAAGTAGTTTTAAAAAAAGTTTTATAATGATATTCTAATTAACGTAAATCACTAAATAGTATAAAAGAAAGTCGTCCATCCCTATGTAAGCTTAGGTCTTTAAAATTCGCAACGGATCTTGATGCGGTTTTTTTACTAGATAGAGTGATTCACCAGGAAGGTTTATATGCATAAGGGAAACAAATTAGGCCTAATATCAGCAAAATTGTTGTCAGCATTCAAAAAGCTTAATATATCTGCATAGAAGTATTGCGTGAAATTGTGTTTTGTTAATTTGCGATATTCATAATTATTTTAGGTGTGTCTTATGTGATTTATGTCAAAGTAAATGTACTGATGGATTATATTTTATCCAAGTGAATTAAGATAGTTTCCCAGTAAGATATGAAAGACTACACACGAACCATGTCACGAGACCGACAAGGCACTGAATTTTTTTCTTATAAATTGACCTTGTGTGGTTAAATTTCTCTTGTGTGGTAAAATGTGGCTGATTCACCTTTTTTATGTGAGACGGTGCTAAGCTCAAAAGCTTCAACGTGTCTTTACTACAGAAAAAAACATATGATTCCTAATTTGAGAGTTTATTATAATAGGAAAATTGTCTTTGGTATGGATTAGCCATGCTTAAAAAAGTCTACGTCTTTTATATTGATGCACTGCATTTTTTTTAGTTACTTTTGTCCCGCTTAGGGTTTTTATTGATTGCGTTATATACATTGCAGATCTACCAGCACTTGCGCTGGTACACGAACCCGTCGGAGCAGCGTTGGATAGTGCGAATCCTGTTCATCGTGCCGATCTACGGCTGCTACAGCTGGATATCTTTGCTGTTCTTCAATGGCGATTCGTATTACGTCTACTTCTTCACCGTCAGAGACTGCTATGAAGGTAACGTTGATTTGTGAATGTCTTAGGTATTTAATTTTCGTTGAAACAACGAGTTTTATTATAAGTATCTTTATTTAAAATATTTATTTGGACAGCTGCCACCTTTTATTAAAAGTATAATAGTAATATTTTCTTTTGTTGGATGATTACTTCCCTTTTTGCTGATGGCGAAAACGCCACTGCCACAAACTTCAGCGCTAGCATATTTGATGATTCGATTCCTACGCGGGATAAATATTTGTTTGCCCGAGTATCTGGTGTTCGTCCACTTGAATTTGCTTTTTACGAAACTCCCTCACATCACACCAGTGATCCTAGATTCGCTGCACCGTGAATAGCTAAAAATCTACTACTGAGCGATCGGATGCACCTTCCAAAACGTCTGCGTCTCACTAAGTAATGTGAGCTCGAGCCTAAAGATTGCGTTTCGAGCGCTCGTTAATCAAGCTAACGCGGCGCGTCTCTTGCAGCCTTCGTGATCTACAGCTTCCTCTCGCTCTGCTACGAGTACCTAGGCGGCGAGGGGAACATCATGTCCGAGCTGCGCGGCCGGCCGGTGCGCGCCTCCTGCGTGAACGGCACCTGCTGCCTCTCGGGCGCCACATACACCATCGGCTTCCTGCGCTTCTGCAAGCAGGCCACCCTGCAGTTCTGCCTGATTAAGCCCGTCTGCGCGTTCATCATCATCTTCCTGCAGGTGCGCTCATAGTCCCTTGTGTCCATTACAAGCTGTTTGGCTCACTGCACTTGTTGCGTAACATGAGTGTTTGTTTTTTAAGTTTCCACGTCTGTCTCTTTCTCTCACTTTCTCTTTCTTTCACTCTTTCTCTCAATACAGCTCGCCTTTACTCTATTGAGTCAGTTATAATTTCAGTCATGTTTATATTAATCCAAAAGACATCTTAAGATATTTCTCATCACAAACGTTGCGGAAGAGTGTGAATTAGGCTTAAATTTAATGAGAACAGGCTACAGTTTTGTTATACAATTATCATTGAATTTTATTTATTTGTTGTTGGATGTTGTTCAACCGTACTGATTGACTTCTGGTAGCTTCTATAAAATACCGATGCGCTCGGTATCGATATAAAGAACATGGAAACTACTCGTCCATTACACTACGGCACCGCCGATCTTGTCCGTACATTACTGACATTACTTGCGCAACCAATCCGGTCGAATTTAATTAGCGCATGCTCGCCCGACGATCTTATTTATAGAAGATTACAGCAAACATTAATTACATCATAAGTATGACATGACGTAAAGGAAACTTAGTAGGCCCTTTTATGACAGCATTAATAAATCTATTTGGCGAATATTGCGTCAAGGGTCGCTTAGTCATTTGATTAAACCATTTTTTTATTTATTTATTTAAAAACATTTGCACAGAACGCTAGGTACAGTGGACTTACCATTATGGGTTCTCTGCCAGTCAAACAACAGATAAATATTTAATATTTGTATGCAGAAACATAATTATATGTACATGTACTAATATACCCAAGTATATAAAAACCTTCATAGTATTAGATATGTCAAGAATGGCAAAAAGGGGATATGGGCAGATATATTTACAAGGAAGAATAACTCTGGTAGGGCCACACAACAACTTCAGCTGTTGCACGAATGGGCAGGTCCGTGCGGGTAAGTACCACGACCTCACAGAAGACGGCCTGAAGTGGAAGTGTTATACTTCTGCGTTTCGTCTGGTGAGTAAGGTAGCCGAGGCCTACTTTATTAAAAGATGGCAGCACATTTACGACCTTACGGGTGTTGCAAATGTCCATGGGCGGTGGTTATCACTTAACATCAGGTGAACCGCGACCTCGATTACAAAATGACGTTCAATACATTACATGGCATTATAACATTAAATATTGGGTGTTTTCAGTTGTTGATTAAAACCATATCTTTTTATCTAAGTACTTGCAAAGCAAAACTTACAGCAATATCTGTTCAATGTTTCTTAATGTTATTACAGTTTATAGGATACTCTACGTACCAACGTAATACTTTTATGGATTCCAATATATACGAGCGCAATTCTCTATCCACTTCGATTTCTCAGCACAACTAATCAAAAAAGGCAACTTTAGTGTATTAATGTTATGCTTACATTTCACGACTACATTTCTAAGCCGGTACTCTCCCCTTTGGAAATGTAGTCTCAAATAGATTATTTATTTACTAGCGATCCGCCCCGGCTTCGCACGGGTGCAATGCTGAATGTTTGTTTTCGACATCGCATTAGAAACCTCTAAAATTATCAGTGTTTCTCTACTATTTTATGCATGAATTATACATATAAGCCTTCCCCTTGAACTCTATCTATTAGAGAAAACCACATCAAAATCCATTGCGTAGTTTTAAAGATCTAAGCATATATAGAGAAAGACAGACGGCGGGACGATTTTGTTTTATACTATGTAGTGATTTACGATAAGAGTCATTTTATTGTGCCATCCCCTTTGTATTTAGTTCATTAAATTGTTAACATCATTGCAGTTGGATTGTTTCAATGAATCTTAGAAATGTTTTAAAAGTTCTTTTAGTAACGTGCTACAAGAATCGACACAAATCTGTTGAACGTTCTAGATGTTTTGTTAAATGCCTTATCTAAGATTATCTTACGTCAATAATTTAAAACGAGATACAGTTATCGGCAAGAGTGCGTAGTAAAGCGGTTATTTATGTAAATAATTATAATAATTGACAAATTACTTTTAATGCAATAGTTTCAAGTTTTGTAAGAAAAGCGTACGCAGTAATTAAAAATAATTCTCAATATCATCAAGAAACAAAATTTGTGCATCTGTTTATTTTTTAAGTTTATTAAATAATAGATTGTGCCAGGTACGCATGTATGATTCATAAAATTATCAACTTTTAATCATCATATAGATTTCGTTGTCTACGATTCGTCATCTCCTTCACTAATATTTACAAATTATCTACTCTATACACTATCATTGTCAACGTTTTAATGACCTAATTAGAAAGCGTAATGAGATTAGGTACTTCAGCATTAGGCCTTTTTTTGTTCCAAATTCACCGCGATTCGCTCAAGATTTCCTAAGCAACTAATGGCTACTTTTGTTCTACTTAGTTAGTATGTTGCGTGAAATATCAATGTTAATTTGATTCGCATCAATCTAATAATCTCTTTTTTCTGCATGAAGTTTGAAAGCTTTGACCTTTTGCTATCCGTGCACCACATAGTCAAAATAGCTTACGATTTGGGAGGCCCAATCATTTTATTAAATTTATAATTAGCGGCCTACAAATATAGAAAACCGGCTAAGTGCTAGTCGGACTCGCGCACGAAGGGTTCCGTACCATTATCTGTAAAATCGGCAAAAAAAAATCATGTCTGTTGTATTGGAGCCCCACTTAAATATTTTTTTTATTGTTTTTTTACTATTTGTTGTTATAGCGGCAACAGAAATACATCATCTGTGAAAACTGACTAACTATCACGGTTCATGAGTTACAACCTGGTGACAGACGGACAGACAGACAGGCAGCGAAGTCTTAGTCCCGTTTTACCCTCTGTGACTTGGATTCAGTAAGTTTGGATTGCTTTGGTCTCCTGTGAAAGAGCTACTATCCCGTTCGTAGATGAGGAGAAACGAGCGTGCCACCCCTTTAGGTTTGTAGTCGCGAGCCTCTAGGATACGGGTAGTGTCCCCTGCTGTACGAGGGGGCAATGGGTCACAAAGTAACTGGTGAAGGCTTAACCTTCGCAAGGGTTTGGTCTTATGCAGTGCAGAGCGGCATCGGTGCGTTCCTTTGGTCTCGAATCTGGCCCCGTTTTCCCTCAAACGAAATCTTCGATCCACGATCTTTTGAAGATCCCCCGAAGGCATACAAGAAAATAATGCAATATTCCAGCAAAGAAACATAACCATTTGTGTGATGACCTAAAATTATAAATTTAATGTATACCTAACTAAAGCATTTGTTGTCACCAAAGCTTAATATAAAAACAAATTGAAACCTTAGTTCCCTTTAGTTCTCTTTGCTTTTTGATTGCATTTTCAGACTTAAAGATTTATATAAATTATTACTAGCTAACGCCCGGCGTGTGTTGTAATATTATTTTAATTTTTTTTTTCGCAATTGTACGTAGTCAATGTTTAATTGTTTTTTTCGGATCAAGAACATTCACAGGTGTAGGCAGAACAACTCAGCAAAGATTGATCACAATTGGACGTTTTAGTAGTTTAAGATTGTCATTTATTTCGATGATTTTTTTTTTAAGAAGATATTCTGCTACCCCTCAGTCCGCCGGCCACTACCACGACGGCGACTGGAGTCCTAACGGCGGCTACATCTACATCACCATCGTGTATAACTTCTCGGTCAGTCTCGCCCTCTACGGCCTCTTCCTCTTCCTCGGCGCCACCAGGGAGATGCTGAAGCCCTTCGACCCCGTGTTGAAGTTCTTCACCGTGAAGTCTGTCATCTTCCTTTCGTTCTGGCAAGGTCGGTATACTGTTTAAATATTACTCTCATCATACATACAATAAAGTACCTACTTTTCGCGTAATCTTTCGTACTGGTCGTATTTTTAAATTTGAAATATGAAATGATTTTTATCGCGTTCTTCTGCACTTCGCAGTTCCGCGCTCTCGCTGCGAATTTTGAACTCAGCAAAGACGAAAAAAAGGTGAAACTTTAATTTGGTTTTACCAAATTAAATTTTCACCTGCCATATGTAGTCTAAAAATTAAATTTTCGAATCCCCCCCCCCCCCCCCCACTACATGGCAGCTAATAACGTGCAGAGCGCGGCCGATAAGAAAAACTTCGAAATAACTCCCTCAGGCGTGGCGCTCGCGATCCTCGAGAAGGCGGAGGTGATATCGCCGATAGTGGACGCGAACGGCGTGCCCACCACGGCGGGTACCGTCTCCGCCGGCTACCAGAACTTCCTCATCTGCATCGAGATGCTGGCGGCGGCGGTGGCGCTCCGCTACGCGTTCCCCGCCGCCGTGTACGCGCACGCGCACCGCGACCCCCACCGCTCCGTCACCATGCAGTCCATCTCGAGCAGCCTCAAGGTCAGCCAAACTCGACTTTATTGCTACCGTCTTAAGGGTCATAGTCAAACGATATGCAATCCTGCGACGGCAGCCTCTAGGCGAGCCGAACTCGACTTTATTGCTACCGTGTTAAGGGTGATAGTCAAACGAAATGCAATCCTTCGACGTGTTAAGGGTGATAGCACGAAATGCAATCCTAGGCGAGCCGAACTCGACTTTATTGCTACCGTGTTAAGGGTGATAGTCAAACGAAATGCAATACTTCGACGGCAGCCTCTAGGCGAGCCGAACTCGACCTTATTGCTAATGTTTTAAGGACGACAGTCAAACAAAATGTAGTTCATTGACAGCAGCCGCAAGGTGAGCGATTATCGACCTTATACCCAGCGAGTAAAGGACGATAGTCCACAAAATGTAGCCCTACGACAGCAGCTTTATAGCTACAGCGATAAGGAAGATAATCAAACAAAGAGCAGTCCATATCCAGCAGCCTCAAGATGGGCAAAACCTTGACGACCGTGTTGCTAGTGATAAAGACGATAGTCTAACAAAATAGAGTAAATCTACAGCAACATCCAGGTAGCTGGCGAAACCTTGTCGACCTTATTGCTATCGATATAACGACGATAGTCAAACCTATACCCGGCTTATGATTTCAAAACAGATTGCCTGTTACGATTTTTTGAACATTTAAAACGAATCGGATCAATTAAACTATTGTTAAGGAACTACCAGTGTCACTACTTTTTATACGCCTAGCCTCCCTATGTAAAGACAACAATTTGAAAAATAAATCTATTTTTAATTGAACGAGTATGTGACAATGAAATAGTTATGTGTCTACTCACTCTTCTTTCATCGCTTTGCTCATAAACTAATTATCTATAGCTATAACTTCATTTTTACTGATTTTAAAAACTATAGGTAGAGAATTTGTCTAACGTTGGGTCGTTTTTGTCGCCAAAATTCGGAAATGGAAATTCATGTTCTTTATTCGGGGGCATTTACGGTCGTATGAAATGAGTCAGAGTATTGCAAGTTGTTTCCATCGGAGATATAAAATAAAAATTGGAAGCGTGTTGCGTTTGCATGTTTATAACCAGGTACCAAATTTGTCTCACAGTGAAATATGCTTTTCCAGGAGACAATGAACCCGAAGGACATCATGACAGACGCTTTCCACAATTTCCACCCGCAGTACCAACAGTACACGCAATACAGTTCTGGTGAGTTCCGTGCCCTCATTGTTGTAAGCGCATGATGTCATTTGCTGCCTGATATATTTTCATTTGCCGAATATTGGTCCAGAGTATATTGTATTCTTTTGATTGTGCTAATAAGGAAGCTAAATTTACGTTGGTATTATTAGTCGTATATTGCATAGTGATGTATTGTACTATCTATTCCAAATTTTTCTTTCCAATATTTTTATTTTTTATCCGTTTCGGAATCGTTTGGACAAGAACGTGACCACTTTTATTTTTGATTTCGTTTTCTTTCAGATGTCACATCTCACCTGCCTTATGAGAAATTATAAGCTCTGCCATAGCTGCGCTCTGCATGAAGTGCATTGCTGTCTGTCTGTGCATTGTATACAAAATAATGAAAAAAAAAATCCATGCCACTAACATACATTATGTAATCTTTGTCCGGATGTTTATAGGCCGAGTGTATGGATATGTGGATGTTTAGGCTCTCGTTGCAGTTGCCATTTGCATAATAACCCGTCGAGCACGGCAGCGAACTAACAGAATCCATTTGCACTCGAAAAAAAATCTGCATTGTCTATGACTTCTTATTTTTGCAAATATATGATACTTCCATCCTAAACCGGCATGATATAATGTTGTTATAAAAGAGAAAAAGTCTATACAGGTTATAATAGGACGTGAAAAAATAAAAAAAATAAAAAAACCAGAAAATATCCAAAAACATCTAACATTGATTTTAGTCCGATATTCATTTTGCTATGTAAGATTTTTAATTGAAGATAAAGTGGGGGACTTACATTTGGGATGAATGACAAATAGATATTTAATGTTGATTCTTGAGTTCATTTATATAAAAAAATCTTACTCTATTAAATTTCATTCTATAAAAATAAAAAATAAACAACATCAGAACACATGAATAAAAGCTAGCTTTTCCTTTGAAATGATTAATGAATATGTTAACTTTTGTTTCTCAGTGTTATTGTATCTGTGTAAATTTTGTTAGTGTTACATTTTGCCCAAATATCCCAGAATTTGACTAGTCCGATGTATGTTTATTGAAACTTTTAAAAATATAGTATTCAAATATTATTTTTGTTTTCATATGCCGATGTTTCAGACGGCACTAACTTCTATACTTTATCATAGTCGGACTATTCAATAGTAAATATCTATGCATTGAATTAAGCGTTTTTTTATTTTTGTACCTTACGCCGATATAATATGTGTGACGCGGTGTGTAAATGTTTTTTATTTCTGTGATTACATTTTTTTTTTCTAAATCTGTACATTTTTGTTGTTCTCTTCTAGTTAGTGGATATGATCCGTTAGTAAAAGCTAGGCTTGTTTTTAATTCTTGTAACGTAATAAGCTTTTTATATACTTTTTTTTATGCTCTTCTCAGATTAAGTACATAGCGGACTAATGTACCAGATTTATTCCACCGAAATATGTACAGTTTGAATTTTGCCAAAGTAACGTTTCTTTTAAAGATCATCAAGATGAAAATGTTAATAGCGCTTTGTATTTACGCATCCTTAAAGAGAAGGGAGCATTTTTTTTACTTTTAATATAGTTTATTAAATCATAAGTTGATTCGTCTTCACAGGTTTTCTTATGAAACAGAACGGATTTTATGGACGGTTTACATTCTAACATTAATATTGATTGTTCACGTTTAACGACATTTAGGTTAAGACAATTGTTTCTGAGATTCGACCATAGACACTTATGAATAGTTTTATCTTTGTATTTGCTCTTTCGCTAATAAATAAACGACTTTACTGTAAAATCATTTTGATTGCTACTACATTTTGAACTAACAACATATATGACGTCGTATCGGAAGGGTAAGTTTTTGAAGTTCTTATGAATGTGAGCTTGGTAATGTTTAGTTGCTGGCATGCTTAATGTTTTTTTTTATTTTAGGCCGTTTATTGGAACTTATATTTTTTAATTTAATTTTCATTTGATGATTTTGTCACATTCTATTATTTTGGTTGAGATATTGAAAAAGAGAATACAGAAGTCATGGTATGTAATAATACCATCCATTCCTTACCATATACGGCATACTTAGTACTTAGTAGTAAGCAGCTCAACTCACATAGTAGCCAAGTTAACTAACAACCTTATAATAAACGACACAGTACGTCATCTAACTCTAATATCACTAGCAATAAAAACATTCTTAATAACAATATAACTTATTTGAAAACGGTACTGCTTTTTATACACGAAAACATAAAACGATTGTCTTATAATTCATATCGGCACAAGTTTTACACACCACTCTGATATGTCCTCATTTTGCTTCAACGGAAAATCGTGTGCGTTAGGGATGCCGAAAAAATCTATATATCTGTATTTTTTAAATATATCGATATAAAATATTCAGTGTCGAAATGGTATCAAAAACGATATATTTTTGAAATTCGAATACGGAACAGAGTCCGTACTTTTAAATATTTAAATAATACTTGGCGTACTTTTTTTTTGCAACAGGGCCTAAAAAGTAAAGAAAAAATATCGATATTTGATATTTTTTCTAATTTTCTTATCTTATTTATATCGATATATCGAGGCCAATATTGATATTTTTATAAATATCGATATTTTTCTTCACTTTGGGCAACCCTAGTGTCCACTGATCTAATCCATAAATCTCGATGAGGCAGCGTTCAAGGGCTTACATGTAAACTGTAGGGGACATTTTAAAGCGGTACCGATTATGCGCAGTGATGCGGAGTGCGGGTATAGGCAAGCGCGGGGCGGAGGAGGGGGCGGCGATGGCCCCCCGCCCCCCGCCGCAACGCGTGGCGACCATCAGCAACGCGGCGAACTACCACGAGAAGACCACCCTGCTCAGCTCCGACGACGAGTTCCAGTGAACGACGAATTTAATCCCATGCACAAACCGTTAAACTCACAAAGAAATAAATAAATAAAAGTACTAAGCAAAGAAAATAGAGTCGAAACGATGCCACCTATCGCACGTTGTTAGAAGGTGCGTTATAGTCACAGAACAAATGACAACCCGATTGACTTGTATAACGCGCGGAAATTGGACGAATGAATTTTATAGAGCATTATAATTATATTTAAAACTACACAGTCTCTATATATTATACAGGCAACTTTTATTTTCGGTAACGTTGCTTATTAGTTTTGGGAAAGCTGGTGCTAATGTTTTGCAGTCCGACCGAAACGGGAACGGTATGAATTATTAAAATCTCCAAATAGTTATGTTAGTATGACTGTAGTCAGCCGCTTTGTTATAAATCATCTATTCATCATCAAATCATAATAAAAATTTTAAAATAACCTGTACTAGCGGGAAAACAATGAGGCAGACGAGCTAGCGACGCGCGATAATCTGCGAAAACAGAGTTTCGAATTGATCTATTTTAGGCCGAAACCGAAAACCTTCGGTCGGACACCAATTTTTGGTAAACATTGAAATTCGATTAACGAAAATCTCAGAGCGGTATATTTACATATGTTGGACACAATATCAATTCCTTGTTTTGTCGTACCTAAAAAAGGAATCTGTTAAGGTCTGGTAAAGTTTATTAATGTTCTGATAACAGTCCGAAGGTATTTGAAATTCAGTAATGCCATTTTGATTATTTCCTTTTTTCCGTTCGAGCATTTAACTGTGATTTTAATGACTTACTATATAACAACTCATTGCACTATTCCTAAGCAATATGGTAACCATAACCACTTTGTTTATTACCAAATTATGAATCCATATATGCAAATTACCAGAATTTTAACGTATAACATTGTTATGGAAATAGTTCATGTTCATGGGTTTAAATTTTATTCTGTGTAAACCAATGTAAAATAACTAACTCTGAAACAGTAAATATATTTATTTTTCATTTGAAACTAAAATACCGAAATAAACCTGTGTGTATTGTTATTTGTTAAAATGTAGGTGTGTTAAGAGTAGTCCGAAATAATATATTTAAACTTGTAAATTTATGTAAATCATTTCAATCTGAATTTCTTAAATGATTTCATATTTCAATGTACAGAAAATATTTAATTTCTAAGTAGGTATATCTAAGTCTTATTTATAATTATATATTCAAAAAAATCTGTATTTAATGAGTAGTTAAGGACATATTATCACATAAAGATGATTTTTAGCGTTGCATTAATTATATATCTTGTGGTCACTGCCTTAACATATGCATTTTTATATAAATGTGTCAACTTTTGTCTGTTCACCACATTAGCCAATACTTGACAGTACAATAATTGTTTGAATGAACTCTACATTCTTTGATGGACCATAGTAACGCTTCATAAATTTACCTGAGAAATCTAGTAATGTTATATCGATCTTTGTCACTTTAAGCTGCAATAATTTAAACTCACCGCTTCGCCGTCCAATTTAGTAGTCTTGACAAAAATATGACAACATATATTCCGGTTTTTAAAATCTCTTAACGCTTTTTACAATTTGGACATAAGATAAAAAGTCGTAGTTGTACGTTTCGCATAACAGTGTGAAAAATAACTAATTAAAATAATTCAGACAGAGTTGAGTTGTTCATAGAATTTCTGCTTCTACAATTAATTGGAACAAAAAATGTAAAATTACAAATTTATTAGGTCTTATGTTTTAATTAAAAGCTATAAGACTTTGTAACTATAGTATGATCATTACGGAAACTGCGCAAAATGCTGCACAGAAGTCACTGCTTGATAATTGTCATCTCTTTCGAAAGTTGTTGTTAAAAATATTCTTCGTATAAATAATTATTATTGTCATCCATGGATTATTCTAAAACAAAAATGGGTTCATTATTTAAAACTATTAATTATGACAGTTTTTAGACAGAAGTATTTTTGGTATCCTTTGCCTATTGAAGCTGATAAAAATAGATAATATTAATTCTTAGTTATGGTGATAGTTAAAATAGCAAATAAGTAGTACCTATCCTGAAAGTTATAATTTTGGAAATTATATATAAATATGTAAATTATATCTTACCTTCTATGGGTATAAATAGTTTTTGCGTGAATTCGTTTAAGATGTGTATCAATGCATAGCTGTCATATGAAAAATAACTATTTTATTATTATTGTGTGTTAGATAATATACCTATAAATGTTTATTAATGTGTAGGTATAATCTTTAGTTTTATGATTGTAAATTTATATAAGGTACTTTGTTAGTTTTTTTTGCAACACATTAGAAGGAAATTCAAAAAACCGTGTTCCAATAGTCGGTTGTTATCTAACAAATGTTTGCACCATGCATTTTTCTTCATCGTCAATTAAAATAAAGCTATCGTTTTACGGTTTA